TTCAAGAAGTTATCATTCAATTTTTATAGTCAATAAAAAAATATACAAACTTCTGTTACTACTTTATTCACCAACAGAAGATTTGCCAACTGTAACGAATCCTGTTTCTTGACGCTGTCATTCCCTGCTTTTGCGTTGTGAGAAAGTCATCCAATTCTAAATAAAACCCCACAATTTATTTTTGTTCTTCATTATGAAATTTCATGTATTGCGCTATCGTTTTGCACTTAGTACTAATACCACTTATTTATCAGGATGAAAAAGCATATAAAAAAGATTTTGAGCAAAATTAAAAAACCCTGTAAAATAAACAAGTCAATACGCACGATACAACTGTGGGTGTTTAAGAATATGTACATATGTACATATAATCTATACTAATATTATAAAGGAAGGAAATGTTTTTTTGTTTGTTTGTACCGAATAAGCTCCGAAACTACTGGACTGATTTAAATCAAATTTGGTAAAAATATAGTTTAAGACCCTGGGAAGGACATGAGATAGTTTTTATCCCGGAAATCATCCCTTTAAGGGGGTGAAAATATGGATGAAAGTTTGTATGGGGCATCAATCTATCAATCATAATTTAATATCATACCAATATCAATTCTAATATTATAAAGAGGTAAAGTTTGTGAGTTTGTGACGTTGTAGGGGGTAATCTCTGGATCTACTGAACCGATTTAGATAAAATTTGGTAAGAAGATAGTTCAAGACCCTGGGAAGGATATAGGATACTTTTTATCTCGGAAATCATCTCTTAAGGGGTGAAAATGGGGATGAAAGTTTATATTGGAAATCAAGCTAGGGACAAACCCGAGCGAAGCGTCGCTCGTTTAGAATATAAAACTATTAAGAAGTCAACGATAACTAACACAAAAATATGGACAACTCAATTACAATTTTGTACTCCAAGCAACATAATTTGTACTCTAAGAGGCCAAATTCTCGGGACTAATTCACTTAAGAGCGTTTGAGTTCTGCCCGAAGTGACACTACAAGTCGAATCAATGTTGTCTATAAGCTACCAAAACTCTTAAAGTTGAAGGACTGTAATATCACCTTACGTACACCTTACGGATACGTAAGCTAAGGTCTGCCGCCTGGTTGCTAGTTACATAATGTTGTAATCATATTTATAAAAACAAATATGGTGCAGCATTTTAGTAAATACTCATTTTCCTCTGCGATAGATAATCTCAACATTCAAATAAATTTTACCTTTCAAAGAAAATGAAGTTCCTAGCAAATAGCAAATCTATTTTTTCATCACAAGCCCTTTGTGATCTAAAAAGCCTTAAAAGTCCTTGATTGTAATCTTATTCACTAAGTCGATATCTCGTATAATTATATCGGTTTGAGTAACTCATATCTTCCAGCAAATCTAAAAAATAAAAAAAAATAAGTTACGTGATGAAATAAGATGAAAAGTTTAACCAATACTTTTACTTTTACAAATTATTAATTACCAGACAAGACATAAATATTGGATATTAATTGAATATACATAAAATTAGTTCTAAGAACACAATTTATGTAAATTTTTCTTACAAATTCCTTACGTATACTTTTTGGGCAGCGACACGTGACGTGAACAAGATTTGCATTTGTATTATTAAAACAAACATTTGCCCCAACTGGTAAACTAAATTAAGTTTAGTACTTAAGTTTATAATGACAGGTAAATGAGCATCTACTGAATATACAACAGTATTACTAAAATATAATTTATTTCAGAATAATTTTATAATTTACTAGCGACTCACCCTAGTTTCGCTTGGGTTCGTCCTTAGGTACATTTTTTTTTTGAGCAGAACCCTAATTCTTTTACTGAAATAAAAGCCCAAGTTACTCCTTATAACATCAAGTAATTGCCAGTGAAAGTCCCGTCAAAATCAGTCCAGCCGTTTCGGAGATTAGCTGGAACAAACAGAGAGACAGACAAAAAAATGTGTTTTTCTTACAAATACCGTATATAATTCCATATGCACTAAGTAAAAAGCTGTTATTTTGACATGACAAACACTGACACTTAAATTTTATTTATCTGTATAGACTAGCGACTCGCCCTCGCTTTGCTTGGGTTGATCCCTAGGTACGTTTTATCGTTAGTAACGTAACGATTAGTATGGAATTGCCTCGGTAGTGTAGTGGCTAGCATGTACGGCTGCATGGAGGTTCTGGGTTCGAGTCCCGGGTCGGGCCAAGTTTAGTTATTGAGTCTTTCTGTATAGTAAGCCTCAGTAACAGCCCGGAGTTGGGAAGTTGGCGGTGTTTCACCCCCGTGCCTCGGGGAGCACGTAAAGCCGTCGGTCTGCGCCTTAACTCTCACTGGTCGTGTCGAACAGTCGTCCCACCGGAGTATGAGAGTGACAGGAACATAGAGTGCACCTGTGTCTGCGCGTACACTTGTACACTATAATATCTCCTGCGCAGTTGGCTAGTCTCAATGAGATTGGCCGCCGTCGCCGGAATCGGTCAGGAGAACATCATCATCAGTACACAATAGATAGACTATATATTATATATACCTACATAGTTACAACATTGACAGTTCCGTACTTTTCAATTTACCAGCTGTTCTTTTTTGAGATTTTTTCTTACACTTTGGCACATTTGGAAAAAAATATGAGAGTAAAATATTTACGATGTGCGCGTACACTGACAGCCAAAATGCGACATGATGAAGTAAGCTGAAAGTGATATGATGAAGTTAACTGATAACTGTCTCACCGGTTCCCGTAAAAACTCATTACTATATTCAAAATAGTTCTTAAATATTTATAAATCTATAACACGTGTTTTTATCAGTAGAGATTAAAAAAATATATTTATTTTTATTAATTTAACATTCCTTTTACAAACAGAGAGTTGTGACATACGGGATGAAATCTTTAGCTGTTTTTGTTTTGTTACGCCAAAGATGTATAACTTCTTACGTGCGTGCATATACATATAAGTACATACACACGTTTTATTTTATTTTATACCTAAACCACCTCTGACCCATCCCCAACAAAACAAAAAAGAATAACTCAAACCGATCCAGCCGTTTTTGAGGTTAATCGAGACTAACTGGTAGCGTTTGTTATATATTTTTTATATAAAAAGGATAATTGAAAGACTTTCGTATAATATGTTTTGTAAAGTCAATGAGTAAAATGGGAAATTAATGTTTATCTAGAAATCCATCAATCATCCCTGCAAAATTTTATTTACTTTATTTTTCAACGTTATTTAAATCATTCGTTATTCAAGTCAGCCATTATCAGAAAATGAATGGATATAATACATACTCTATACGATTGAATAGTTCAACTCTATCAAGAGCCTTTATTGAAACCACAACTCCTGAGCCCGACACGCTGTAAATTGAAAACTGCACTGGGCTATCGAAACCATTATAATATTTTTCCCTTACAGAGAATTCTATTTATGAGGCGTTGCTATAATACTTCTCAGATGAGGCTACAAATTCGATTCCTGTAAAAAATATTTTAAAGGCAATTTATCGACTTCCGACGTCCTGTACGGACGTACAAGTATTTATTATTTAATATTATTTAAATATAGTAAAAAATAATATATTATAAGACAGTGGTAGCCCAGTGGTACAGCAATCTCTTGCAAAACCGAGTGAATCATTTTTGACATGATTACCACTTGTCTTACGGTGAAGGAAAACCTCGTGAGGAAACCTGCATGTTTGAGAGAACCTAGCAAGTTCGAAAGACATGTGAAGTCCTCCAACTCGCACTTAGCCAGCGTGGTGGACTATGGCTTGATCCCCCTCGTATTGAGAGGAGGCCCGTGCCTAGCAGTGGGACTTTAAAAAGGGCTGAATACAAATAGTAAAAAATTTATGACGCGCGTAAATAATTATAACAACTATGATGAGCAAATATGATGAGTTTTCAAATATAAAATACGCATTATTTTACTGAGACCATGAAGGAATTAACCACGAGACATTACACTCGATTGATTAGAAGCCTTGTTTACGCTTAGAATTTTTTTTTTACTGCATGGTAAAGTTTTGGCTAAGTTTTAAAATTATCATACAGTATCGTGAAGTTTTTACTAATGAATTTGATTCGTAAAAATATAAAAATGACACTATAATGATGATAATAGACTGATGTCTCGCGACTTTCTGAAATTTTCCTTAAATATTGCAGTCCCCGTCCAAGCAAATGTAGCGTGGAACAACCTTCTACAATCTGAGATGATGACGACGCGATGATGAGAAAAGCGAAAGGTGAATAGAAAAACTTGATTAAAACTTAAAGAATTCTTTATTTATTTCAATAATAACTTTCAATGGTATTAAAAATATTTTTAATAAAATTGTCTAAATTAAAAAAATATAAAAGCCTTTATAAATCCTTCATTTATTAATAATTTAATCACAATATACATATAATTCATAGATTAAAATTAAATAAATGTTTTGGACTATCAATACAACAAATGTGACTTTAGAAGTTTAGAATTCATTTTAATACTATTATTTTATGAACTATCACATAATATTGTATTCAATACAATAATATACCTCATTAAAGTAAAAAAAAGCTTTAATATACAAAAACTTGAGATATACAATTAGCGTCTCGAAAGTGTCCTCAAAAAGAAGCACACAATTCCAAATGGTGCGCTTTTTTCAAATCTCTTTTGTTTATTTTGTTTATCAAACGCACGTTGCTTCGTTTAAAAAAGTACTTTATGTGGTGTGCTTAAATTCGCATTTGTGTTTAGATATATATAATTAGGACTTTCAATTTTTGAATTTTATTCTTTGGTTTGACTTAACGTCACGATATAATATGTTTGTCGAGATATATAAATATATATTCTATTAATTTAATATATATTTAATTTTATATATATACATATATATATATATATATATATATATATATATATATATATATATATATATATATATATATATATATATATATATATATATATTATATCAATGGTTTAAAATGACTTTAGTCCCGTATTTTAAATCTAAGCCAGTGTCCGCCTTCAATTCGTGGGTTGAATGAGTCTTTGGCGAGTCTTGTAGGAATACAAGTTTTCTCGGACGGAGATACTTCGAAATGTAACAGTATTTGGTACAAAAGTGACTTCAATTCACAGAGAGCAAATCTTGATCCTGAAAAAAAAAGATATTATACTTTAGAGAATATTAACATATTTCCTAATTTTAAAAATAACATGTTTGATATTTTTACTAAATTACATATATTTAACCACACGGTTGGCTTAGTGTGTAGTGACCCTATTTGCTGTGCCAGCGGTCGCTGGTTCGAGTTCCACTGGGGCATTAATTTTCTGCTGCTGCTGGGGGCACAAAGTATTGTTATTATGACATTAGAAACAGACATATCAATATTATTTATCTGTATATAGATCTTGTTGTGAGATCCAAATAAGTTTAATTTACCAAGCGTAATATGATTTTTAATATGAATGCTTTTATTTTTTAGTATAAAATTACAAATATCTTTATCGTTCACAATGTTCATAGACAAACAATAATAATAACTTATGTTATTTCACTGATATCTGTATTGTCACTTGTTTTTATTAATATAATTCATAATCTAACAATAAAATAATTACATTTAAGATATGATTACAAAAGCAAGTTCTAGTATATATGTAATGATTTTAAAACAAAAACTGAGCAAAACGTGTTGTCAAACTATGAAAAAGTAGTAGAACTAAAACACTCTTCTTTAATGTGCGATTAATATCAATAGTCATTTGAAATTGGCAGAAACAAATCTTATTATTAAGAGACTAACGAATCACCTTCGATCCGCTCGGGTTCTGCCCATGTTACGTTTTAACGTTTAGTATTGATTTCTCAGAGATGAGATATTTTCCCGCAGTAGAAAATATTCTATATTTTGCCCTGATGATCAGCTATCATCTTACCAAATTTCATCAAAATTTGTCTAGTGGTTTTCTCATGATGCGGTCACAGACAGACAGACAAAAGTTTTAAAAACTATAGATTCAGGCTCTGTATCGATAATAATGACTATTTCAATAAGATTTTCTAAAAAAATATTTAATGTACAGGTTTAACTCAGAATTTCATTATATGTATAGATTAGTAGCCATTAACCACAAAAAAATGTTTACTTACCAATACAATTTCTTGGACCGACTCCAAACGGCATATAGACGAAGGCATTAATGCTATGCTTGTTTTCATCAGAAAAGCGTTCCGGATCAAACTTGAGAGGATCCGGAAAGAACTCAGGGTCACGGTGGAAACTCCATACTGGTATTGAAACTGATTCTCCCTTCCTTATCTGTTAGGATAAATAGTATTATATTTTAAGATATTTAGTTAATTATTAATTAAATATTATTATATATTCATTAAATATTATTTCAAAATATGTTTATAAGAAAGAATGTATAGAAACAAAATTAATAAGTAGAATAATATTTTTACAAAAAGTAACAGAAACTTATGGCAAATGTATTTTTTTTTAATTAGATATAGTATGTTAATTGCTATTTTATATTGCTGATGGTTAAAATCTATTTGTTCGTATTGTGATATCAGGCAAAAGGAGGTATCATATAAAATATTTTAGTATAATAAATCATAATTTCCTTACAATGTAATCCTGAGTAGCTTTATCATTAGGTTTGCCCACGTTGTAGTCTTTAACGCACATTCTATCTAAAGCCAATGCTGGAGACCAAAGTCTTAGAACCTCTAAACAGAAAAAAAGCTTTTTTAAATTAAATACTCTATTTTATGTAATATACGGCGGGTGGAACACATCACTCATAGACCGGATAGTCGTTGGGGACTAAAAGTTCTCGAGCGGGGGCCACGTATCGGAAGGTGAAGCGTGGGCCTCCCACAAGGTGAACTGATGACTTGCTCAAAGTCGCTGGAGCCCACTGGACGCGGATAGCACAAGACCGGTTCGTGGAAATCTTTAGGGGTAAGCCAATGTCCAGCAGTGGACGCGTTTGTGCTGAGATGTGATATTTTTACAATAATATACGTAGAGGTTTCCTTATTAATGTTAGAATTCCTATTAATGATGTACATTATATTATAACTAGTGTCCTCCCAGTGGTCCAAATTCAAGCATAAACAGTACTGAAAATCTGAGCAAAGCATATATGAATAGAATTTACCTATCTATATACAAAAGAAACTGTTTTCGATTTTTTTTAACAAAAGAAAATCGTTTGACAAACAGAGGAGAAAAAGTACTGGACTGTTTTTTCTTTGCCTACTTATATATAGATAACAATATAGTAAAACAAAAACAAAGCTATCTCACGGGAACCGTACATTTTTCCGAGATAAGCCTATATGTTATTCCAGACTATAATCTATCTCTGTGCCAAATTTCATCTAGATCCGTTCAGCTGTTCTGACGTGAAAGAGTAACAAATGGATGTTTGTTACACACAAACTTTCACATTTACAATATTTATACAGATATAATATACTAATCATATCGCACGCACATGCACATGATTTCGTACACCCATACACCCACAGTCCACATACCCACATACATAGATAAACTTTCGCTTTTATAATATAAGTTCCATAAACTATTTCTCGCCATCATTTACCTGAAGTCACCATATCCATGTAAGTCATGCTTTGTATAGCATTGAAATTCAGTTTTCCATTATTCTTAGCATGCTGCTCCCTGATCTCTTCAGCCAAACGCTTCTGTGCCTCTGTATGTATGGCCAGCTCGTGTAAACCGAAAGACATTGACGTTGATATGGTCTCAAAGCCCGCGATAAAGAATAACACTGCTTGAGCGGTTAGGTCCATATCTGACCAAACTAAAAGGAAAATTTTAATTAAAATTTATATTAAATCTATATAATAAGAGTGCTAAGTAAATCGATTTACATACTTGTGATATAATCAAACCTCTAACTACCCCTTTTGTTAGCTAATTTCAATGTCTCAACAATAGCACCATAAGAACTTTTATTCCTCATTTAAATAATTAAACAATATACATATTTTTACTTAATGCTTAAACTCATAGCTTTAGTGGTCTACCTTCAATCATAACTTAAAAATTAACAAAAAAATAAAAACCGACTTCAAACAAAAGCACTAAAAAGTAAAAAATAACTGATTGGTAGTTTTCATTTACTATACATACCTAATCAAATATTTTCGAAGTCGGTGTGCTTTGCTTTGTATGGGCTGGCACCGATTTCGAAAGTATTTGATTAGGTATGTATTCAATAGGTAGGCTTTAATTACTTAGCCAAGCTCAGTAGTAGCAAAGTAAGAATTATAACGTGTTAAGCTTGTCAAAACAAACAAGATAAGCCCAAACTCAAAGTATCCACTATTAGCCGTTGAAGAGTTCCACCTATCCACCTTCTGGCCTTACCATCAGATCAGGTCAACAATACTGAACCACTGTACTATCAATGGAAATAGAAACATTTGCAAAGTTTCAAGTCAATATGACAATTAGAAGTAGGTTAAATTCATCATTAGCTATTTTTCCACCCTTAGGGGTGGTATTTTTTTTTTAAATTTAAATGGGACCAATCTGGAAGTATACACTTTCAAACAACACAAAAATTGTCCAAATCGGTTAATAAATGACGGAGTTCTGAGGTAACAAACATAAAAAAAATACAGTCGAATTGAGAACCTCCTCCTTTTTGAAGTAGGTTGATGACACAATGGTACTAATTATATAGTTTAAAAAAATAAATGTCTTGTAACCCTTTTGTATTTACGTCAATAAAGGTATTATTATTATTATTTGAGTTTGATATTTCGTGTTAGGTAGCGGCTGAACGCTGTGTTTTATCTTAACTAATTATGAAATAATCTTTATTCTTTAACAAATATTGAACCCTTACGAAAATCGAACCTGCTCTCTGCTGTCTATTATATATTGTTTCTACTTCTAAAGAATATTATCAAAGTTGTGCCTACTATGTATTTATAGTATAATAATAATATTATATTGCATCATATCGGCACCTTCCCTATTTGGTATAGATCTTAATGTTTTAATTAGTAATGTTATATAGAGGCACGAGTAGTCGCTATTCGCACTTTGTCGCGAACCGTTCTATCTAACCTCCTACAATATAAATATATACTTCAAGGTGTTTTTATTCCCTTCCACACGGCATAAGTTTTCAAGCTATTTACTGAATGAACACAATTTCATGCCATACTACCAAGTGGCATAAAGTGTATGCTAAAAAGGGATTACCAATAATTTTTTGTATCTTATAAGAGAGATGAAACTTGAGTTTCTGGAGTTAAATAAAAAATATATTGATGTGATAAATTTTAACCATGTGACTAATTAAAATTGTAATATCCAAATTTTTTTAGAACCTATTAGCAATTGTATAACAAAGACATTATCACCTATCTACCTTAAAAGACTAATGATAAAAAGTATACAATCATAAAAAGAAGATAAAACTTAAAGATAGCTTGTAAAAAAAAGATGGTTGATTGAAACATATCATAATTATTTACTTATATATAAAAGCAATTTGATAAAGAAGTTAATCAATGTTTCGAACAAACCTCTATCAATGGACTTTCTGCCGACGGAAGATTCTTCAACAGTAGCGAATCCTGTATCTTGAACATCGTTTCCTATTTTTTCTTCATGTGCCAATCGTCCTGTTGAAAACATAATTTGTTGAAAACACAATTTAAAACGGAGTATCTATTCGTCCTCGGATAAATAGGACGAATATAAAAATAAATATTCGTCCTTTATAAAATACACATATAGTATATAGAAAGAATATACTAATAAATAAGTAGCTCAACTCAGCTTGGTTGGTTAAGGTTTTATTTAGCATATAGAAACTCCTGCACCTAAAAATTCACTCATTTTACATTACAAAACAGAAAAATTAGTATATATTAGTACAAATCGACAATAGTCGGATGAATAATAATTTGTTTATTCGTCCGACTATCGGACGAATAGCAACAGTCCTATTAAAGTACAAATATTTTTTTTTTATTCGGCCTTATTTAAAGTACGAATAGCAACAGCTATTTAATTTTGATTTTAGTGCACTTAAATAGGATTTTCTCAAAAATTTATTTTCGGAGTTAATAACATGATATTTACGATAAGTTCAGTTTTAAGAATTCTTAAAAACAACATTAATGTAATAAAATTCTTTACTATTTTAATTTTTGAGTAAAAACTATCAAAAACGGTTATCATTAAATTCGACGAAAAATTTGGGAGGACTATTTGATTTCATCGTAATGGGGATATTAAGTTTGTATTTTTTTCTTTTGCATGAAATAATAATGTTTTTTACAACGAACAAGATAAAAATCTCAACGGCATTATCTCTCATTGATATTATCTCAAGTACTTCATGGTAGCTTATTATAAGTACTAAATATAAGTAGCAATTTAAATTAAGTCATGTATGGTATAGTATGTTAGTTTTATATAAAAACATATAAAATATAAAAAGCAGCAGCAGCATTTTGTATGAAATCCTACAGATCGTATAGTAAAGGCACTATCTCTGCGCTTACTTATTTAATATTAAGAGCTTTTCGTAATGACCAACTTACCAGAGATTATAAGCCTATGTCACTCAACAATCTATTAATTCTGTAAGGAAATCCCATCAATTCTTTCCATGCCATGCAAAGCCAATATGCTCCATGATGCATGCGAAGGACCAACAAATATAAATATTTTCGAATTTGAATATTATTGTGGATATCCTTATAACTAAACTAGCTAAAACGCAGTTTAAAGTTTTGATAAGAGAAGCAAACATGTTACTGTTATAGAAATAATTTTGGAATTAAGCCCTTATATACGTAAATATTACCTTTCTTAGCCTCCATGAGAAGGTGGATCATGTCAGGTCTAATGATGTTTCTTGCTTCCCTGTCCTTCATTGTGCTGGTTACAAGCTCTATGAAGAAGTCTTTAGTGCGATCCGAGAATAATGTTAGCTTCAATCTCTGAAAATAAAACATAATGTTTACAACTTCAGAAAAATATAGAAGGGGCAGTCCAGGAGGTAGCCCAATGGTAACGCGCTCGCTTGGAAAACCAAGTAAAGCGGGTATAAATCCCGAATCTCGCACCACCCATGTTTACATGTGCAAATCATTTCCAACATGATTACCTTTTTTCTTAAAGTAAAATAAAACATATTGAGGAAACCTGCATGTCTGAGAAAACCTAGCAAGTTTTTGAAAGACATGTGAAGTCCGCCAATTGGTCCGCCAAATTCGGCCAGCGTTGTGGACTATGGCCTGATCCCCCTCGCATTTAAAGGAGGTCCATGCTCAGGGTGAGACGCCAAAAAAGAGCTGAATAGTGAATACAAATCCTTAATGTTTTTTTAAGAAATTGCAAATATTCAGTAATGCTTATGGCAGAATTTAGACCATTAGCGAACATTATTATAAGATTTGTTCAATAACTAACTCATAAGAGAGCGACAAGTGATAGTTACGATTTTATTCTCAGCAGTACTTCCCGTGAACTTGTTAGATACAATTGGTTACGTATCCACTGACCTTGGAATGATCTACGACTTTAGTAATATGCAGATGCATGATTGAATTACATCGTATTGGTTGAGTGAATACAAATTAAATGAATTAATCCCTAGAACTATAAATGTGATACGAATTAGAGAAATATAAATGTATAAATATGAGTAAATGCTATTTTCTGTATTGTATTAAAAAGTTAGGCTTTATTACACACTAGCTTCGCTTAGCTCGGGTTATTAGCACATTATAAAGGTTAATTCGAATTTTACATAATTTTTGAAGGTTTTCGATTTTCGCACTGGAGCCCTTAATATTTCCGGAATAAAACATGCCCTTTATGTTACTCCTTCAAAGTTCTTTATCTTTCAATGAAAGTTTTATTTTAATCGATCATGTCATTTCTAAAATTTCCCCGGACAAACAGATAGACAGACAGACTGACAAAAAATATAAAAAGTAGGTAATGGTATTATTTATCCCTCAACGACCGCGGGCACACCGGTGTTACAGTAAACAATGAATATCTTAGAAATTTAATTAATTTCTTAGAAATGTAATAATATATAATTTCTTAGAAATTTAACTGGAGGAGTTATCATAGTCAAAGAAGTTTAAGTATCGCAGCTCTCCCATACAAAGCGGGGGCCATGCTTGGTAGTTTTGTTTGGTACTAGTGGTCTTATCAATAAAGGGTAAAGATACAGCAGAGAAGGAAGCGACAAATGAAAGTACAAGGGGGGAAGATGTTGGGCCGTTGACATTCTCTATATTCTCAATTGTACTTCTATACTTCTGTGAACTTCTAATCCACATCAGTATTCTGTATGGTAGATTAACGTGTTTTCCCGTGGAAATGAAATAATCTCCCGCGGTAAAAAGTAGCCTATGTTACTCTCCAGCCGTCCAACTATCTCCACAAAAAATCATGCCAATCCAAACAAACAAACACACTTTCACATTTATAATATTATTATATATAGAAAAGTGAATTGTTTACTACAAAATGTTGGCGTGTTTAGCGTCAAAACAAATCATTTAATTAATTACTTGCGAGTTTGATTTGTAGTCGCAAAAAGTATATTTTTTGCTTATAAACATCGCAATAGACGGGTGACCTTGTCATCCAAAACGTGTTTTCATTGAGATATTTTTTTATTACAATTCCGCCAATTCTTAAATGTGTATAGTAAGTACGTGTATTTGATTTAAATAGACATAAATAAATATTCAGATTATAATAAACCTACTAATATTATAAATTCGAGCGTTTGTGAGGATGTATGGATGTACAGATGTATGGATGTTTGTTACTCTTTCACGCAAAAACTACAAAATGGATTTTACAGAAAATTTGCAATAATATAGTTCATAAATCAGAATAACACATAGGATACTTTTTATCCCGAAGAAATGTAGTGTTCCTGTGGGACAAATTTGTTTTTGTTCTTCTAGATTCGAACCCGAGCGAAGCGAGGGTGAGCCGCTAGTTAAATAATATTTTTACAATATTTATAAAGAATTATTAATATAATTAAATACTTATAAATATTGTCTAAATTCTACATATTATAATATTTTAGGACTAGACAGTATCAGATCATATTACAGATTACTATGAAGTATACGTTTAGTAAAAAAAAAATATATTCATATCTATACTAATATTACAATGGGGATGTTTTTTGTATGTTTGTTTGTAATGTATAACATAAAAAACTACTGGCCCAATTTAAAAAATTCTTTCACCTATCAAAAGCTACTTTATCAGCGAGTAACTCGGGGCATATTTTATCTATATAAAGATACTTCCTTATCATAAACTTACCTTCACGAGAGCAGGAAAAGCAGCAAGCGCGAAGAATAGCAACATCTGACGGAACTTGAAGGTGGAGGCTGTTTTGCCCATTTCATAGAACTGATTGTTTTCGTCAGTGTGAGAGTCCACTTTGAGGCCGAACGCGCATGACGCGATCACGTCGTTGGCGTACCGCGACGTCAGGTCCTTGCAATCCACATCTATATAACCGGCTGAAAAGAATTCATATTTATGTATAAAAACTGAATGTTTAAACGGTTAGTATAGAATTCTCAAATAATACCAAATTCCATTAAAATCTATCCAATGATTTTCTCGTGATGCGTTCCCAGACAGACAGATGAATGACAGACAGGCAGACAGACAGACAAAAATTCTAAGAACTATAAATTCGGCCTCTGTATCGATAATAATGACTATATTTTCCAAAAAATATTTAATGTCAAATTCGACTCTGTTAGAATTTTACTATAATTATAGATGAATGAATATTTGGTTGTTGGTTACGTATGCATATAATATCACTGCACTGCGCACAAGCTTAAAATGACTCTAACATGCGAACAAATTCTGATGTATAATTGGATTTACATTGACCTGAACGACCTTTGATGTTAGGCGTGTAATGTTTTATAACATACTAGCAGAACCCACGGCTTCGTTTGCGCTGAAACTACAAAAAAACTCTAAAATGGTAGGTTTCACGCAAACTTTCATCCGCTATTTTACCCCCTTATGGGGTGTATTTCGGAAAATGCTAAAACACGTATTTATTATTAATTGTATTGATGAGCGCTTAGTTTCAAGTAATTCTGATAAAAAATATTTTTTTTGTATTGTATTATAACGTGTTTTCCTGTGGGAAAGAGATATTTCCCGCTTTAAAAAGTAGCCTATGTCACTCTCTAGCCCTCCAACTGTCCCTACACCAAAAATCACGCCCATCCGCCAAGCCGTTTCGACGTGAAAGAAAGATAAATAAACAAACAAGCACACTTTCACATTTATAATATTAGTATGGACTAGTGTAGAAATTACACATAGAAGAAATATTTACTTAAAAAATATATATTTTTTGCCAGGAACCTTCGATTCAAAAAAGTTTTATCATAATCGAAAGAATGGTTTAAGAACGCATGCAGGACAAACGTACGTAAGAGAAACAATGAATTTTATTTAAATAGATTTATTTTTGATATAACCAGTAATTTTAACACTATTATACAGTATAGTATAATAATAATTTAATACCCTATATTGACGCGGAAGGAACTATAAATTTCATCTTGATGACATTTATCTATAGGTATCTATCTATCTATACATATTATACTAAAATTCTGAGTCGAATCTGTACAATAAATATTGTCTGGAAAATCTTATTGAAATACTCATTATTATCGATACACAGGCCGAATCTATAGTTTTCAGAATTTGTGTCCATCTGTCTGTGACCGCATCACGAGAAAACCACTGGACAGATTTTGATGAAATTTGGTATGGGGATAGCTGGTTATCCGAGTCAACATACACGATACTCTTTACTGCGGGAAAATATTTCATCTCTGAGAAATCTATACTAAAATTTAAAACGTATAATGTATAATTCATAAAAATATATATTTTATGTCTTAATTAAACTGATTCTTTGTTTTATGAGTTGTTTGTACTTCTACAGAATATTTGGTAAATTCGGGTCACATCAGAGTTCACATTAGGTTTCTTATAATAGAAATTCTCAGTGAGAAAGTTTGGAAGTTATGTTTACACGTTGCTATGTAGAGTAGACTTGTGTACATTATCTCACGTAAAACCACACAATCTCAGCAAAAATGGCTTGCTACGAGCAATAATTGGCAAGGAAAATATATATACATATGTGTAAAAATTGTTTCTCGTAAGACATACATATGTGTAAAATATATTTTAAATGACATTCGAAAAAAATCATTGGTCGTTTACTTACTCTTGGATTCATTGATCTTTTTCTTCAAAGCTCTAACCATTTGGTCGCCAACTTCCTCCATGAACGGCACCATCAGCTTTATCTTGGAACTTGTGAAAGCTGGACTTAAAGTTGACCTCATGTCCTTCCATTCTTCACCTATGTATCATAATAATATTAGGTTAAATGAAAATACCATGAAAACATATAGTAAATTAAAAATCACTAAATTAATACTTTGTACTGCCACTTAGCCTGTGGCTTCATTAGACGTATATTTTTAATCACGATACCTGCAAGGAACTCAGTACTTTTTGCAATTTTGAATTGGAACTTGAAATACATTAGAATATAAGAAAGTATTTTATCTTTAAATTATATTAAAACTGAGTTATAAGGTTGTTCTTTACAATTGTCGATTTATTAATCAGCGTGGCTAATTCGTCCATGTCAGCGTCTTATATTGATCTTTACATATAATAAAATTCTGAGTCGAATCTGTACATTGAATATTTTTTTGGAAAATCTTATTGAAAAAATCATTATTATCGATACAGAGGACGAATCTATAGTTGGTAGAATTTTTGTTTGTCTGTCTGTCTTTCTATCTGTCTGTCTTTCTGTCCGTCAGTCCGTCTGCCTGTGGCCGCATCACGAAAAAACCACTGGACAAAATTTGATGCAATTTGGCATGATGATAGCTGGTTATCCGGGTCAACAAGGATGCTTTTTACTGCGGGACAATATCTCATCTCTGAAAAATCTATACCAAATGTTAATATACATTTATTTGTAGATCTTCTTCTTCTTCTCCCTTACCATTTCCCAATCACTTGGGCCCGTCGCAGTACATCTTCTGTACTGCTGATAGGATTTGGCAAAAGTTTTACGACCGGTCGCCTGCCTAACATCAACCCTCCTTGGGAATTGTAGATCTATATAACTTATTTAAATAAAACATTGTCACGTTTTCATATAATAATATATAATTTCGTATATCAATAAAAATAAGTTTCATAAAACATAATAAGCAAAAATACATAAATATTTGATTTGCGTATTCAAGATGGAGAGCAGGAATAATTTATGCGTAACAAGATACTGTGTTATTTCAGTTGTAATATTGCAATAAATAATGTGCGACTCAAATAAATGGATTTGTAGTAAATAGATATCACGAAGTAAAATAATTAATTTAAGAAATATTATTAATTTTAAATTTCGTTATATTTTTTCCTGTGTACACACAACATCCTGTAACAGTCGAACAGACAGGAAGACACGCGAGTAATTTTACTAGAGTTTTATTTCACATTAGATATACGGAATCTTAAAAAAAATAAGTTATATCAGTGTCACCTTTTAAAGAAAATAAATTCCTAGCGAAGAGGGGCTCTATTTTTTCATCGGTAAATCCTCTGTGATCTATGAAATATTCAAAGTCCTTGATTGTTATTTTCTTCACTAATTCAATGTCACGTATCAATAAAGAAGGTTTGATGAACTCATATCTGCCAATAAACCTAAAATGGAACATTATTGTAGAATATTCGATATATATATTTAAAAAAAAAATGAGTTAATATTAGTCCCGCTGAGTTTCTTTCCAGCCAGTTCTTCCCAGGTCTGAGGCTTCTTCTTTCCGAACTGGTAGTAGACTCGTGACGTTCAGTAAAAAATTGTAATAATTTAATGCTGAATAAAATATTTTGAATTTGAACATAATTTAATGAGGTGGTAGTCCGCTGCTTTAGGAACCGAGTGAAGCGGGTTAAAATCCCGGGTCTTGCACCTCTGCTATTTACTTGTGCGAATCTTTTCATCATGATTACCGCTAGTCTTGCAATGAAGGAAAACATCACAAAGCAAACTGCATGTCTAACAGATCCTATCAAGTTTTCGAAGGACATATGAAGTCCGCCAACCCGCTCTTAACAAGCGCGGCGGACTATAGCCTGATACCCCTTGTAGTAAATGAAAACCCTTGCTCAGCAGTGGGACGCTATACGACATTCGACATGTTTTAATCATTATTTATTTGGAAAACAGTACACTATCCCAATTTTTCTCATACTTTTATCCTATAGCCTAAAAAAGAACTGGAAGAAACTCTGGAAGTATCAGTTAATGCTAAGGACGCCTATTGTGCAATTTTCTTTTTTGGTCTTGTATTTTATATTTCATCGCTTGGTAATGTACAGTAAAGAATATCTGATTAAAATATTATAAACAATTTAAAATATTGACATTTTGTTGTAATATTCCTAAGGCGAAAGTGAGACTCATTATTATTGTCGGTTTTCCATGAATCCATGGGTCATCTTGATGTTTGTATTACAGAAAATGCACATCTTGGAAAATTTAATAATAGAATAATACAGTTTTCGAAATCAGCCGTTTCCTTTTTATAGTATTTAGACAATATGCATATTATTTTTACCTTTCTTCTGGGAATTTCGTGTAGATATTATCTATGTGATCAGAAAAATGGGTCAGACGAAAGACAACACCCAGCATATTTCCGAAGAAAGGCACCACCTTCGGATGCTTCACTCCATAGTCACTGAACCTGGAGTAAGTCTTGTGGATGTGCAGAGCTAGTACTGCTATCAATACCACTGTCCATATAAGAAATATCATCTGAAAAGAAAAGGTGGCTATTCCATTATTCAAGGTATATTATATTAGGGCACTAAAACATCAACTTTAACAGAGAAGTGCCCAACTGGCTCTACTTCTTTCACAGGTTTATGTGTTCGATTCCCGAATAGGTTAAAACCAACTGTTCGAATATATATGGGAAAAATAACGTACGGCGTTACTTAAAATTGGTAAAATATCTAAACATACAAGGAGCTAGTCATTAGTATCTTAATAAAGAAGACTAACCTTTCTATATCTTCAAACTATCGACTCACCTTCGCTTCGCTCGGGTTTATACCTAGTTACTTTTTAAATAGATACAAATAGATATTAGCCAGCGTTAGCTATATTTTTTTTGTGAATTTTTCTGACGTTTTAATAGTTATTTTGCTATTCTAAGCGGAGACAAATCCAACAAATCCAAAACCATGAAAACCGGTCCAGCAGTTCTCGAGTTATAAGTGTTGTAACAAACCCGACATTGTTTTATTGTATATAGATTATAAATAAATACACGTACACACTCACACACATATACTGTATGCGAGCGAGCGAAGTATATCGCTGGTATACCATAAAACTATATAAAACAATACACATGGATACAAATACATATCATATAATACATAAGTACTATACTAGTAACAGATGATAATAATAAATAATAATATGAGACACCTGAGCTCTCAGGTTATCTGATAACAAATGAATTTCTTCACTTTCAAGAGCCTTTATTTACATACATCTTATTTAACTTATCTTATGTATTGTTGTAATAGATTTATTAGAAACAAGCGGCTCACCCTCTAGAAAAATAAAAAATCTATCCCACGGGAACCGTACTATTTTTCCAGGATAAAAAGTAGCCTATACTTTATTGATGCATGAGCTATATTATTGTAAGGTTTCATTGAAATTCATTTAGTAGTTTTTCCTTGAAAGAATAACAAACATTCATACATCTATACATCCAGATATTCAGACATCCATACATCCTCACAAACTTTCGCATTTATAAAATTAGCAGGATTAACATAGTTTATTGTAACCATAACTTGTTTGATCCAAAAATACAGTTTTTACAAACTAGAATACAAAAAAAATCGAGTAGATTTACAACTACAAAAACAAACACAATGAACGAAAATGGATTTAATAGACGCATTTGTAATTTAGATTTTCACAATTACTAACAGACACGCTTTAAAGACAAAGTTCAAGGGCATAGAAATTAATAGCTTTCGTCATAAATTATCCAATTTATTTAGTTGAATTGGCTGAAGAGTACCTTCTTTATACATCCAAAGACTATGACGTCGAGTACAAAAACTTGTATCGTATCCATTATTTTGTACAGGTTTTTATACCCTATGTATTCTGCTAACTATGCAATAGCAGAAATAAAGCCAGCAGAAGAGTATAACTTTCGTAGCGTTATGGTATGAAGTTTTCATACATTTAAATCAAAATTGAAAGCACGAAATATATTTAGACGTAAGGACTTAACATATGACGATAAGACCACGGTAATGTACTTAATGCATAAATATAACCGTGATAAGACATTCACAATATGTACATGTGCAGTTATTGAAGCCTCTAGCATTAACATGCATTACTCATTAACGTACTCGTAGGTATTTCCCGCAAATGTGAGATGCCTTTTGTGATGTTCATCGTTATTTGTGTTTTTTTTTTAATATTTATATACAAATAGGTTAATACAAAACAATTCAGTTTCTTTTTCTCCTTTGTATTTCAAACGATTATCTTCTAATTTTGATAAGTAGCTAAAAATGATTATTTAAGTTTTAGACCATTGTGTGAACACAATTTTAATTTATAATTTATCTCAATAAAGAAAAACTAGTTACCCGCGTAAATTATGTGTTACTTATTTAGCTATCTTAACAGAAAAACTCGGTAATTAAACTTGGTCCGACCCGGGACTCGAACCCAGGACCTGCGGATTAAGGTTATCTACTTACTTATTTTAGATATATATTATGTCTAGATAGCGTATCTAAAAATCTAGACTTGTGCGGTTAGAGTATAGTAAATTAATACTGTTATTAAGACAATACATTATGCAAATATATAATATATTATAATAATTACATAATAACATACCTAAGAAGCAATTATTTAAAAATCACACAATAATTAAAAAACATTGTGTTATCGTAATTTTTCCTTATTTTTATTTGTATTTTGTTTTCTATAGATGGCTTCATCTGTTAGTGATATATTAACCTACTTTGTAAATATTTTTAAAGAAAATTTGAGATATTATAATAATTAAACCAAGCTGATGTAGCGCACGAGGCACTACGTCACTTTGTGGGGGCCCATTAGTGGGAGGCAAGTTACAGTCCACCAAATATTCAATCTGAGACTGTTGAGAAGGTGGACGCCAAATAGCCTCATCCAGTAGCCCAGTTTTAGTCCATTCAAACTCTATTCCGTAACCCTATTTAGTTTTTCATATTTTCCATAATCTCTACGTGTTATCCGGAGGTTATCTTTGGGCAATTCCCTATGAGTTACTAAGAGATGGATCCCAGCTGATGCGTCACATTAAACAAACTTGAATCTCTTAAGGGATCTCAACGTGCTGGACCTGTGTCTCCACGCAAGCCTTCCAAAGGACCAGTCTCCTTGGAACCCGTGAATTTCAAAGAGATACAAATAATAATTAAAAATTATTGATATCACAAAAACATTATCATAACTCTAGAACGACTATTTTTTTCTAAATAATACCTCTAAGAGTACAACCATTTAAGTTATTCACTATAATTAATAGCTTGTTGTAGGGTCAGTACAGTCAGTACTCATTAAATAAATAATAAATATGTTGGGACATTAACACACAGCACCATCTAGTTCCATGGTAAGCTACGATGCCTGTGTTATGGATACCAGATAGTTGATACACTACTCATATATAGCTTTAAATACACACATATTATAAATATAAACATACATGACTGGAGTACAAGCAATCGTGCTCATCTCACAAATAAATGTCCCAGAGGGACTCGAACCCGCGACCGCTGGCACCGCAAGTAGGGTCACTACAAACTGAGTCAAACGTGGCATTTGGCTCATTTGTTGTTTTGGTTAGTGTGTTGGTGTCATTAAAGTACCTCTGGTAGCTCTAGAATATTATTCATCTAGTTTATTATTTCTATGCCAGTGTTCGGTCAATGGTTGAAATTCGAACCGAAAAAAATTGTTACCACTAAAGCTCGTCAATGTCTAATAAACAAAAAAAATTGTGCGTATACTTATACTTTAGGTATGCACGTACGAAGTTATACTTCTATGCTTTTTTAGAGCATTTAATTATGTGCCTAAATGTTTTTGTTTATAATTTCCGGAATAAATATAACGGTATGAAGGCCACAGATATCATTATTTTTACGCTATCACCATACAGTTAGTATGCATATCCCACGGGAACAGTACATTTTTCCGAGATAAAAAGTAACCTATGTGCTATTCCAGACTATAATCTATCTTTGTGCCAAATTTCATCCAGATTCATCAGATCAGATTGTCGTTATTGAGTAACAAACATCCATCCCTCCAAACTTTCGCAGGTGTAATTTATTTAAATTTGTATTTTTTTTAATATTTTGTAAACTAATTTACATACGACATATACATATATACACGTTTCTTTTCACTCATAGTTCCAATTGGAACCTGTTTAGAGCTACGTAGTACGTAATCTTAGGTCATATTAATAAAAACTAGTTAATCAAGCTTATTTGTAAATATCTACTTTATTTGGATATAAAAAATATATATAATGTTATTATATTATATAAATAAGACTAACATTAATATATTATGTATATCTGTGTTCAGCCCTTTTTAAACGTCCCACTGCTGGGCACGTGCCCTCTCCAATACGATGGGATTAGGCCATAATCTACCATGCTGGCCAAGTGCGGATTGGCGTACTTCACATATCTTTCGAAAACTTGCCAGATTCTCTCAGACATGCGTGATAACCATGGTGAAAATGATTCGCACAAGTAACCATCAAAGGTGCAAGACCCGGGATTTGAACACTGGTTTCTCAAGCCAGCGTATTACCACTGGGCTAACACCACCTCTAACCTAGTTAATACATAATATTCTTCATAAATTCCTCAGCAGTGGTACCATAAAACGGCTGAATCTATACTAATATTATAAAGAGGCATTTTGTTTGTTTGAAAGCTCTAATCTCAGGAACTACTGATCCGATTTGACCCGATTTGCATTAGATAACCCGTTTATTGAGGTAGGCTATAGGCTATATATCAATCCGGAAAAATGTACGGGTCCCGTGGGATACATTTGTTTTTGTTTAGGGACGAATCCAAAGCGAAGCGAAGGTGAATCGCTAGTACATTATAATCGGACTACTGTCATAGTACGACAGATAGTATGTGTGTGTATATGTTTGTTACTTCTTCACGCTGAAATGGCTGGACGGATTTGGATGAAATTCTTGGAGTAACGGAAAGTCTATCATACACCTCGGGACGCCTCCGAGCGAAGCGAGTTTATGTTGCTAACTTGCTACTTGAAAACCTTTTTGTTCGTTTGCAACACGTTGTTGTTTCATAACATGACCCGAGATTGCGTAGCTTTAAAATTTTTTTAAGCAAAAGAATAAACAAAATCAAAACTCTAGAGCATGGACACAAAAATCTATGGTGTTCGTTTGTTAATAAAAAAAACATATTATGTATTTGTTGCTATTTACATACATATTTGTTACATCTTTGGTCCTATAAATCATTTATATTATATAATTTCGAATTGATCAGACACTAACTTGATTCTAAGTAACGATTAGTCTAAAAAATAAGTTTTCAGGTCTTAACCAAAACTTAACTTCCAAAAAGAAGAAGGTTCTATGTTCGTCTGTATACAGGTTTTTAAACGATATCTATCACTATGTTGCACTTAATTAATATTTTTGTTCCTGAAACATT